CTACGTCCTTCTGGTCGTTAGCTGAAGCTGTTAATCAGAACTTTACGAAATCCACAATTCCACCACAAACACAAGCGGATGGTTGAATTGCAACCACAGCCAGAGAAAAAGCAAATCTACTAGCTGAATAATTTGCGTTCCACTCCACAGTCGATTTTCTGGAAAAGGCACCACTCATTATTCCCACACTACACAATTCTGGAAATTAATTTTTGACAGCGTCTAACCAGGCGACTCATGAAACAGCTCAATATCGACAAGGTGATGGTCCTGATGAAGTGCCCGTCAACTTACTTAGAAAGTGCGCAAATTAACTCGCACCAGTATTTTGCAGACTTTTCCACATGTCATCCAAGAAAGGGGTTTTTCCTTTTTGGTGGAAGATTGGTCCAGTTCAGCCAATTCCAAAAAAAGGGCAAGAAAAATCTTCCAAATATCTATAGACCAGTCGCTTTACTTTCAGTGATATCAAAAATCATGGAGAAAGCTATAAGTCAGAATATCCTCGAATATTTTCAGAAACAAACAGGCGACCTTCTATCGTATGTCACCCTTATTTGGAATAACGCAATCGAGAAACATGGATAATCAAGAGCTGTTGAGCTTGATATTTCAAAGACCTTTGATCGTGTGTGGCATGAGGGTTTGTTGGCCAAAATTCGATGCTTTGGCTTGTCGAATCATTTTTGTGTATGGCTCTTCAGCTTCCTGAAAACCCGTTCCCTGCAAGTGGCCGTCTCGAATACTTTCATCATCAGCGCTGGTATTCCCCAGGGATTCATTTTGTCTCCAACCCTCTTCTTATTGTACATCAACGACTTATTGGAAAAAACCAAGAACCCAATATATTGCTTTGCTGACGACAGCACACTTATCTGGATCCCAGGACATCGGCTGCGGAAGCATATCTTCACCTGCAGCAGAAGGTTGAATATCTTAACGAGGATCTAGAAGTAATTTCGAATTGGAGAAAAAGTAACCAACTTGAATTCAATGCCACAAAAACCCAGCCATCGATTTTCTCCAAAAAGATAAATGTCTTCGACCCGGATTTATGTCAGGTCAGACAATTCAGCTTTCTGCTTCGATAAGTTTGTTGTGAGTTAAAATGGACACCTATATGTCTTGGCGCAGTCATGTCGCTGGAATTGCAAAGGCTACTTCTCAAAAGCTTTGAACACTGTTCCGAACCAGAAAGTTGTACACACCTCAGGAACTTTTGATGCTTTATGGAGTTCAGATCAGACGTTCTTTGCAGTATTGTTCTCATCTATGGAGCTCCACCCCCAAACATACCCTAAAGCTGCTGGATTCCATCCAGAAAAGAGCCAATCGCCTGATTGGAGACACGAACGTTACTTGCAACCTTGATAGTCTGAAACATCGAAGAAAGATTGGAGATTTATTTCTATTCTATAGATACTTTGACAGGAAGTGACTTGGCACATTCAATTCCACCAGAAGCGGTACATATCAGAAGTACGCGACGGACTGTGGCTGCTCATCGTTGTGAGGTTCAACTCAGTACACCTCTAACTTCACTGTTGAAGAACTCTTCCATTTGGAAAATTGCTATTATATTGAATAAACTTCCTGAGAACGTTTTTTCAAATGGATTTAATCTCCAGCGATTCGAATCCAATGTGAATCACTACTTTCGCACAGGCACCGCTTTAAGAACGCCTTGAGGATTTTTCTGTAGTGCTTGTGTTTTGTCCTTAAAAAAAGAAATCAACCAGAAGTTAATGACCATGTTTATCATTAATTTCTGATGGATGTCTATGCCATGAATCAAAAATTTTTGGTAAATAAAACCTTGGCTAGGTTTCAATATATGTAGTTATTTTATTTTGATATACGTGACAATCCCATACATCATTTCTAGAGTTAAATTTGTATATCCAAGATGAAAACAAAAATACTCATTATCATCAATGCTAGGTTAGTATCAATATTTCACGTAAGAGTAGCGACGAAAGATGTTACCGAATGCACATTAAGACGTTTTATCAAAGCACAAAGCTCTTAGAGATCAGTTAATTCATTCCCCTTGTACCCGTGGACATTTATTTGATCACATTACATAACTTCAACTTTCCAAAGGCCTTTTATCTCACAAATCAACAGCCTCCTTTTCGGCTTCTTACATGGACCAAGAAATGCGATGGTCCTTGTCGAACAACACAATGCCCGCCCACAGAACGACTCTTCTCTGAACTTGAAAAGGTTTTATGAATCTGTTTATGTCTGTAGAGTAGGGACGGTGAGTGTAGACTCACAGTACTTAGGCCACATGTGATCAATTGTACATTCTCTCTAGGAGTTGTCCTCCTAGGTCATCGTCCATCCTGTCCTTTCCAGGAAGGTGGACAGGTCACTAGGAGACATCTCCTTTATATTGGCAGGTGCAGGTCAAGACTCTCTTTGGCAACCTTGAGGTGTCTCACGGTGGCCTCCACGAAGGTGTTGGAAGGTGCAGGGTCATTAATGTCCCTTCTTGGGGTTCCCTCCGTAGAGGTGCACAAGTCAGAGAGCTTTCCTGCAGGAGCAGCCGATTCCTTGCCTTTATTGAAGGCGGAGCTCTTGGCGCCCGCCGCAGGAAGTGCCCTTGCTGTTGGAGGTGATCTGCTATGTCCAGCCTCACTCCAAGCGGTAGATTGGGGTGGACATTTCTGTTCATCCCCAGCCACCGCCTTAGGTTAGGTGAGGACTTCTGTCCAGCCTCGGGATGGGTTTTCGTTGTTTCTGTTTTTGTGTTTGTTTCATTCATGGGTGTTCCCACGAGTAGCAAGGAAATCTGGCAGAGCCTCGTAATACCATAAGGTACACCTCAGCTTGGGTAGGCTGGTCTACGGTGGCATGTTTTGCAAAGGCTTTTGGGGAGTTTTAGTTCCCCTCACCCTACTTATTTCTGCCACTGACCAGGAGTCCGGCGAACCCGTCCGTAAGGCCACATTGGCTTCCCGAATAGGGCCTCCAGTCCCTTGGCCGTTTCCCAATCCGACACTTGGGGTCGCGCCCGATAGGGAAGATTATTATGAATCATATCCCATAACCAAAAATGATAGATATCTATGCGTCTTTTTTAATTGTCGTCAAGTTTGACATGTAATTTGAAATCAAAACAAAATAATACATATCTGTTGCAATAATACTTGTTTGAATTATTGTGAAAAACACCTTTTCGTAGCCTTTAAAATACGGCACGACCAACGATGCTACGTATGGAATTCGATATCCCTATTTGGTGATCATCGATACTAGCGCAGCGACTATTACACCCAGACATGAAAATCCATATATGCAATGTCCGGAGAAAAAGCAGGCAGACAGGCCAAAGAAACGTTCCTTGGGTAGCAATGAAACGACCAGCAAAAAGGTCAATGGAAAAACTTTCCGAGTATTGTGTGGAGGCGCACCCTCTTGTTGGAAAAACACTCTTTGGCGATCAGCTAAGTTGAGATAAGATCAGCTGAGTTGATATTACCAAAAAATTCCCCCAGTATGGTTCTGAGAAACATTCACATGTTGAAGCACCATTGTAGAAACTGGTCCAATGACTTTTGGCCCAATAAAACCACGCCATACGATTTTGCTGAAACGTACCTGTGGATTACAAGAAATAATTTGCATAAGGTTCTTATTACACCAGTAATGATCACTGGAGTAAATTATATTCGCTACATATGATTAGTTTTAGTAAATCAGGATAAGCGTTTTTATTCTTCACAAACCATCGGCAAACTATCATTAGTTTTTCTTGGTCACCAGGTTGAAGGCACTGAGTGGTCTGTATTCATACGGCACAAACTTATGTTTTTTCTAAAATGGTTCTAAAAGTTCCGACACTGGCTCTCACTCCCAAAAAATTGAGTGAAACAGAAATTGTCAAGAGAAATGAAAGAAATGAGAAAGCTCAAAGCATCTGCATATATCGTTTCTGAAGGTAACAAGTATATTCCAAATGACTTTGTAGAAATGGATCGTACCTGATTTTCATTGCTGGGGTGGGATGTTGAAAACGGAAATATGAACCTGAACGGAATTCTCAGAAAACATCATGCATGTGTATTAATTTAATGTATACTATCGAATGTGACTCCTGGACATTCAATTCTTCCGACGTGTGTCGAAGAAAATATAGCTGTTTATAATTGGAGTGCTGTTTTCAAGTAAAAAAAAAAGGATTATTTTCCGAAACGTCAACCAATTGAAGAAAGTTAAGTAGAGAAATTCCATTTTTTCAATTAATTATTCAATTTTTAGTCCAAATCTATGAATAAATACGACAATTGGACTTTTCAATTGAATATCAAAATATCAAAAAAAAATTATTACAGATAATATATCCTACCACGCGAAGCAGAAGTTGAAAGAAAATGTGCCATTATAAAAAATTCTGAAGGAATATAAATATTCATATAAACGAACAAAATTCCAGCAAAAATGCTTTCTTCAACAAGGCACGTTCAATAAAAAAAACTTTACGAAGATGTTAATCAAAATCATGCCATAAGCTGCTCTATCCTCTCAATAAGGTGTGCGTTGTATTCCTCAAAATTGATTGGATCCACTTTCAATACAACCGTTTTCAAACGACTTTCATCATTGTACGTCTCCATCTCGGCCCTGCATTTCAGCACGAACTGTTTGAAATGTGCCTTGTCCGTTATGGCAGAGATCGTTTTCGGATTCTGATCGACTTGGTGTCCCACTTCCTCGGAAATCATACCTAGGACTTTCTCCATCTCCGAGCTGAACATGCTCACCCACTGGTTTTCACTCCAATCACTGACGTTCATGCTGGCTAGCAAATGCCATTTGAAGTTCGGGAATTCTCTATTACACTTCCCGCAGCGGTACATGCCGTTTTCCAAATCGGTGATCTTCTTATTGCAGTTCGATGTGGGGCACGCCTTGTACATTGCGTTCTATGATCTGATCAACAGAACCGTACCCATGACTTGGTAGTAGTCACCCCTTTCACCATTCCCCAAGTTCTAGTCCTGCATCTCCTTGAAACTCATCCAGGGAGTGTTGAAGTTCCTCAGTCCGGACCTGGCACTAATATTTTTTGCTTCAAAGCTGCTCCCTTGGCTGTCATACCATCCCCTGAGACGGTAACACTCCTTCATTTCGGGGTTGACCTGCAGGGTGCTGCTGCTGATCATGGAGATATGCTTACCGCCTCCGAATTCGCCAATTTTCACCGATTTGAGGACAATGACTGGGTTGTTTACCCCGTCGAAGTTTTCCGCATCGGAACCCCACAGAGTCAGAGTGATCCCTGTTTTAGACTGATCCACCAACAAGACTTCCTTCTTCTTCAACTCCCTACCGGTAGACCTCGCCTGGAAAGTTTGCAATTCTTCAACGCTTTTAGTTACTCCAACAACATCTATCAACGAATTGTCCTCGGCATTCGCTATCTTGTCGATGGTGACGAAATCATACTTAGTAGTGGGAATTGCAGAGTCGTCAGCGTTCACGCATTCCTAAATGACTGTTTCGGAAGTCATCGTCATCTCGTAGTCGTTCTTCAACGTGCTGTACTGTTTATTTGCTGGTTTCAACTGGCATTTGCTGATGAAGTATACTTTGTCCACCTGTATGAAGTCATAATATTTATCCACCTGATCCCTGAATGCTGTTAACCTGATTTCACCGCTTTCGTCAATCCGATCCATACTATACAGCTTTCCTTCCCCTCTTGAATTGGACCAAGTACGAATGATAGATTTGTTGGTGACTCTTGCTTTGATTGCCCATTTGTTGTGGTATGGACTCAAGCTGGAAATCGGTTGCGTTACGGTATTCTGACTGGTTATGTTTTCGCTAATGTCCATGGCAACAGTCACATTACTTGCAGAAGGTTTATTTGATGTATGAGGGTTCTGTTTTGGTGTAGGTACAGCTTTAGATGAATCACTTGTTTCGTTGAGAGGGGAAGGCAATCCAATACGCTCGCCAACTTCCGATCCTTCGTGAAGAACTGTCATGTCCAGGATCAGCAAAACACGAGTTTTTCCTTTTCCAGAGTTATTGATTAAGCTGGTAATATACTTATCGATCTTGATTACTGTAAAAGTCTCAAGGCCTGAGGAGCTAACTTTGTCGTTGATTTGAGTGGTCAACATGGCAAAATTGATGGAGTTTTTTCCATCGGACAGTAACATACGGAATCTTTCTTTATTTCCAGTCCCTGATGTTATTTTTTTGCTTCCCAAAACCTGCATTATAGGGGTAGGAAATTCGCCTTCTCTCATTATTACCTCGAGGGATCCTTTGGATAAGTTGTATTTTTCAGCCATTTTCGGGGTTTTTACATGTGAATATTTCAAAAACAACCGGTAAAGAAAATGTCCTTCCACACTTTGTCCACTGCTTTGGAAGTTTATATTATATTATATCACTTATTATATTATATTACTCAGTAATTTTTTGGCTCAGTTTATTTTTCAGATTTTTAAAGGTTATACACCCGAAAGGCAGTAGAAAACTTTGACTCGTCCATAAAAAAGTCTTTCAGAGAATATTCAACCATTACTATAAATAGGAAGGAATCAGGGCCTCTACTTTTCAGTAGCTGCTTCTCGGACAATGAACTGAACTAATTTTTTGCTACTGAACAAAATCCAGACTTCTGTTCATATCATTTCATCCTTTGTTTTGTTGATTTCCTTGAAAATGTTTTGGTAACGTTACATTGTGCAAACATTCCTTTTGAAATTTTAATTTTGTAGTAGAAACGGCATACCTTGACAATGTTAAAACATATTTTGTACGGATTTCATTCAACAAACATTGCAATAATGTGTTATTGAATATATTGAATATAATAGCATCATTTCCATCCTGTTTCCTCAAGTAGTGTATTGCCAGATGCATGATCAATTTCAATAAGTAAATGTAAACTTGGCAATACATTTTTTGGAAGCATATTACTCCAAGACCATCATGTTTTCAGTTATCACAGCTGGTAATAAGAATTCACTCACATTCTACAAGTTATCACACATTCCCGAAGTTATCAAAACAAGTTAAAGGGTTGTTTTTCTAGTCCAACAAAATAACAATGACATTGAAACCATATCTGTATTCCTATAGAATAGCATTTTTCACTTTTCTAAGCGCCGTGCCCTAAACTTCAAAGAGGCAGATAATTACGGAGGGCTTCCAGATAAGTTAACGTGCAATTGAAACATAGAAAACAGATGATGGGGCACGACTGCATAGGCGTCTCGTCACGAACTGCCGAGGGGGAAACGTAAGCTATTAGTTTTTGAAATTATATCAAATGAACAATTTAAGAGTTAATGGAAAGATACATGACCACTGATACTTTTTGAATCATTTTGCTGTCAAAAACTGTTCCGTGTAATATCTTGTTATTCAACTAACGCATTAATTTCGTCGATATTTTTTCATAACAGACACTTTGAGGTAAATTTTAATAGAATACCTAGGCAGCAGCAAACTGTGTCTGACATTATTCAGTTATCGAAAACAAGTACTTATCCCAATCATCAGAAATGGAATACGCGCGTTTACTCAACCAAGTCGACCTTTTCAGGAGACGAGGAAAACTAACTAGGGAAGATTATCACAGTTATGATGGTTGTGAAAAGTGCTTATTTGGATTGGTAACGCCAGACGTTTGGGTTTTATCTTTTGTTATATTGTTATATTCTTGGATTGAAGTGAACGAAAATGCTTCAACAAATATTTATATTTTGACACCTCGTGAGAGGCTGATATTCTGAATTATTTATGCCACTCCCAGGAACATTGAGGAAGAAATGAAAATAAAAATGTGAACAGAAACAGGATACCTTTCTGCGAAATAGATGCACCGCATTTCCTCTCAGATGTAGAAGACTGAAAGCAAGATACCGAAGACACCTACATAAATAAAGCAAATGAACTTCAAACGTTCAAGCCAGTCTCGATATACCTACACAGTAGGTTTAATGGACTGGCGCCTATCAGAAAACAACTATTCCCCTGGCTAATACCATGAGGGGCGTTGAATTATACCTGACAGGCGTCAGTGCAGGAACCTACACGACATGTTGTATGCTTTTTCGTAAGCTTTAGAGAAAGGTGATAATCGGGCTATGCCTCTGTAATTATTGACGGTTTTTTTGTTAGCTTTTTTATGAATTGGGACCAAAGCAGCATCTTTTAGCGCGGGAGGAAAAATACCCTCAACGAAAGACGAGTTGATCAGATTTGTGAGAGGTGTTAAGATGTCGTCTGCAAATTCATGGAGGGAGCATGGGACTTCATCGTAAACCACCATAAGGATATGGTGGTTTACAGCTTTCTCCACGATTTTTGATATCACTGATAGCAAAGTGACTGGTCTATAGGTATTTGGAAGATTTTTCTTGCCCTTTTTGTTGCGTATTTCTACGCTGGCTTGGCTGAATACGTTGTTGGACAACATGTATGCGGCTTCCTTGAATTTTCTCCTAAACCAATGTTCCTCTCTGTGCAAGATCTCAGCTTGGGACCACTCTATGTTGTGTTGATGGGTCCAAACATGGTCTGCTATTCCTGATTTGCTGGTTTCCCCTGTGACTGGTCTATAGTTATTTGGAAGATTTTTCTTGCCCTTTTTTTAGAAAAGGCTGAACACGAGCAATCTTCCAACAAGAAGGAGAAATCCTTTTCTAAGAGACGTGAACTTGAAGAATCAGTGTATATTTTTATGAATGGAGAGAAGTTCATGTTTACAAATGACTTAACAACATAGACATATTTCGCAATTCAAAACTTCAATGACATCTGCCGAGAAAGTTTAGAAATGAAGCGAATCAGCGAAGAAAAAACTGCCAATACCCTTAGATTTATACAATTTTGAAATAAATAATTAATCAGTAATAAGTCACTGATAAATAGTACATATCAAGTTTTACCTTTCTATACGTGCATTAAGTCCTCTATTGCAATTTTCATATGTTTTCAGATTGTGAAAATTGAAAATACCTAAAAAATATCGATGAAAAATACTGTTTTTCAAAGTGCGTTTCGCTAGCAAAGTTAGCATCATCAGAAAATGACTCAAACTAAATCCTGGGACTAAATTAGAGTTTTTATATAAATTTGGCCTTCATTGAATGAAGGTTATGAGTTGAGTACAATACAAAATACTTGATTGATTCGACAAATTTTCCACTTCAACTTCTGTTATAACTTTTACAGTTTCATTAACCTCAAGTTTATAAAAATACCACAAAAAATATACAGAAAGATAATTCTCAGCTGAGACAGAATTATTTTGTTTTTCGAATCGTTCTACCTCCCTTCTCGCTTTGGTAGACGATATTTCAGATAAAATTGCGAGTTCACGTCATTTTTATTCAGCCATCAGAGCTTCAACCGCCCATGGTTCAGGGACTGCATGGGGTTCTCCTCGTAACGTCAAAAACCGTAATCGTTGTCGTCAATTCTACACTTTAGACCTTGTTTGCATCGTTTGTTTGAACGCAGATAAAATTATGAAATCGGTCTTGACAGAAATCACGTATTTATGCAATTCGAGTTTATCACTTCCGCGTTCGGTTTTGCAGAGTTGCAGAGTCAACAAGGCACCATAAAAGGGATGTCAAATGTGATTTATGAACAGAGGTGGGTAAAAATGATGGCATTGTTCTCTTCTAGACGTTTCTTTGGTTAATCTGGGATTATCATAACAGTTTAATTAGCAGTCACTTAAGACTATTGTGTACAATTATTCATGCAGAACATTTGCAAAACAGTTTTATGATTCTGATGGCTGGACTTGAGGAGCTATGAGGTTCATTCTGAGCGGGTGCTTGAGGAAACGAAAGTACTGAAATTTTTTCACAGTCAGTTAAAATCATTACAAATTTCTTTTGCCCAAAATGATTACCGAAGATATATTACCAGATATCACTTTTTTACACGAATTGGAAGATTCGTTTTCCCAACTATTTGAACCCTGATGAAATCCAACCATTGTATCATAGTACTTTGATGATGAATTATTGGAAACAAATACTTTGCACTCATTCTTAATCACTTTGTTCACTCTATGATAGGTTGCCTTTTATGTTTCATGATTTGGCAACCCTAGTGTTGCAATCTGGCAACTGACAGCTCTATCGTAAAGTTGGACATTTTTGAGCTTATACGTGCTCAAAACATTTTGACATATGCTGGTCCATCAAGGACCAGTGTTTATCGATGTCAAAAGCTAAAAAAAAGGCTCGTGTCGATTGGTCGAAGGAAATGCTCAAAAAACACGATCGCGGTGCTTTGAAACACGTCTACGACATCCTGACAGGTGATGATTTCTAATAGCCTCTATAAAGAGGCTATTATCAGGCAATTATTCTACCTTTGTGTGAATATGAGATACCACTTCCAAAAACATGAAGCTGAGATTCCCAACCATGAATACTATACACGAAACCATAACAAACACACCTTCCGCATGTTACAAAATCTAAAACTCAAATAGCATACTCTTATATTTCAATAAAACTATATAATACCCTGCCCGAAGTTATAAAAAAATGTAACAAACAAAACTTAAAGAAAAAAATAACTTAATATGTTAATGAAAATTGTTTTCCCAACTATTTGAACCCTGATGAAATGCAACCATTGTATCATAGTACTTTGATGATGAATTATGGAAAACAAATGCTTTGCACTTATCCTAAATCACTTTGTTCACTCTATGATAGGTTGCCTTTAATGTTTCATGATTTGGCAACCCTGGTGTTGCAATCTGGCAACTGACAGCTCTATCGTAAAGTTGGACATTTTGGAGCTTATACGTACTCAAAACATTTTGACATACGCGCGCTATTTGTGTTGTTTACAGTAACTTAAAAGATTCATCTAGGCCCAAAACTGGAATTGAATCGTGAACATTTTCGTGCGATTATTTTTTACAACTTTCAACGTGGATGGATGAACCTAATTCATCGATGAACACTGGTCAATCAAGGACCAGTGTTTATCGATGTCAAAAACTCAAAAAAAAAAGGCTCGTGTCGATTGGTCGAAGGAAATGCTCAAAAAACACGATCGCGGTGCTTTGAAACACGTCTACGACATCCTGACAGGTGATGATAGAGTCCAAATTTCCTGTTACTATCAGGAAGAGGAATGAAGAAAAAATCAATGTCGACAAATGTAACAAACTAATGAACAGATGAAAATGAACAACAAAATATCTAAAGTGAATTGTGCTTCAACTACTCACCATCAGTGCCGCTGAAAATATATCATTAAACGTTCAAAATGTCGTCCATTATTTGTTTAATACATATTC